ATCATTTTGGAAATGTTTAAAGGGCAAGGTAGCTTTTTGTGTGTGCATGTGGGTTGATTTACTAGTTATTTTTGGTGGTGAGATGTAAGGGATTTTATGCAGCAAGTAAAAAATCTCAACTTCCATAACCAAATCTTTCTCCACTTATTTGTTACATCTTTACATTATCAGAATTTCTCAGATCAGTTCATATCTTCCTAATCTGGATCCCTCTGAAATTGAATGGAAACTTGATTTTTTTCCTACTGCTTTATAATTTCAGGTTTGGAAATCTAAGTAGGTTCTCCTTTGAATACACATACCTCTTTTTCTCTATTATTGTTTTTCCTGTATAAAAATCAGGATAGAGATGGATATTTCGTGAACCCCCCCGATAATAATAGCCAATCATGGAGCATAAATCTGATTGCAATTTGCACCTCGTGTTTTTAATATTTTATTTTTATGACATTATTTATTGTTTTAACTGCCTTAGTATTTTAAAGAAGGATGATTTTTTTTCCAAGTCAGTAAAGGTGTCAAGTTTATCCTAGTAACTGTAAGGATATTTGTGAACCATACAGTTATTAATGACCTAAGTGAAAATCATGAGATCCTCGTAAAATAAAATTTGGCAATACTGCATGCAAAATATGCACAGTAGTTTATGTTAGGCTTGTGAAACTGCACAGTGTATATAAACAATAAGCATTAAAATTCCCTTAATGTTAGCTACTTATTTTAGAAGTTAGAAACCATTTTGTTTTTAGGGATATATAAAATAACTTTTACAAAGTAGATTAATTAAGAAATCTTATTGAACACTGCTATTTAAACCAATAAGAAGAAAACACATTCTATATTTTATGTTGCTTTTACAATATTATTACCTACAACCCAAATCTGACATGTATTCCTGATCCTACTAACTCTGCTATTAGTTTTTAAGGACATTTATTTATTTAATACAAATGATTCCATAGAAAACTAGAAATGTTAACTGGGTTTCAATATTTACTCAAGATGAAAGAAATCGACAAATACAGCTTGGTTCTGGATACTCTAGGCAGGATTCAACCCCTTAATCATCCACTTTCACTAAGAGTATCATAATACTATCCATTAATACCAACAATTCAGTCTTTTACTTTCTACTGTACATTCACAGACTACAGAAAGAGAACAGTTGGAAATTCACCTTCCTCATATTGTAAGCCATATGCTAAGTGAGACTAAAGTAGGGAACACCTGTATGAAAAACCACTATCAGCTGAATTAGTCAGATTGTCCAGCCATAACCAGCTTATTAAAATTTATGATTACAGGGGGCATGCTTCTTTAAGCCCAGTGTTATTCAATTTCATATTGATTCAAGTATAAATGATATAAGTGACAAGTATTTTTAATTCCTAATTTTAATGACTGGTTATTTGTATCAGAGTAACTTTACTTACCTTTATTATATAAAATCCCAGATCTCAAAAGTCTTGTCTGCAAAAAGTATCATCTTCAGCGGTTATTAAATTAATCCAATAATATATGGTATTCATGATAACCTAAAAAAAATGTATATATATATATACAAATTAGGTTTTTTGTCACCATGTAATATAGGAAGGCAACCATAAATATTTACATATAGTTTTGATGACATTTTTCAACATAATAAATGAGCATGATTTTCCCCCTGAATGCAAATTCTACCTTTTCAAAATATGATATATACATAAATTCTAAATTACAATAATCAAACAAGATCACAGGTTACTTACTAACTTTCAAAGTTCTAGGGATGTGCAAAAATCATTGCCCTGTGGCATAATATCCAGAATATTTGTGTATCTCTGGGATGTAACAAATATTCTTGGGACCATGCCATTCTTGGGGATACGATCCAGCAGTTTCTAGATCTTTCTGACTTGGAAATGGTTCAACTTGAATTGTTTCTGGTTCAGAGGATTTACTTTGGGAAAATGGCATACCACCCCTAGAATACCACAGTCCAGAGATGGTTTGGCATGTTTCAGAAGGAAATGGATCCGTACCATATTGATGAATTTTGTACATCCCTAGAAAGTTGTATGCAACAGTGCCATTGTACTATAAGTTCTTCTGCTTGTACAATATACTGTACTTGATTTCGTTCAAATCCTACTTCCCTACCATTGCAGCTTTTCCACCTGATAACTCAAAGCCACTCCAGGAAAACAGGAGACCATCTGCAATAATACGGAATACAGTATGAAAGGCTGTAGGTTAAAGGAGCTGGCAAAAATTCAGTGCTCCTTTATATGTAACAGAAGCAACTTCCACTTGTGCAAAGCTATTAGCATTCAGAGATAGATTTATTTTGCATAAATTTTTAAAACTTAAAACATTTCCAGCCAATAATTATGTCTCAATTTCAAGTTATTTAAAGGTAAGATAAAAACTACAGTCAACATTTTGAATGTGAAGGTACTCTATCGACTCAAATATAATTCAATAATAAACCAATACATCTTTAATAGCACTCTAAAAGTTATAAATGAAGTGCCCAAAAATAATTTCTTGCCACAAGAATTTAAAAGAAATAATCTAGATGTTTGATAAAATAATCTATTACTAAGATAACAGGAATGCTGAAGAACAAGTTAAAACCAGCCAGAAATACAATGATTTTTTAACCTGATTACAAAACTCATCTTTATTTATCCTTTGGCCAGATTATTTCTTTCTTCCTATTAGAAACATAATTCCTTGAGAGACTGGCCGGAACAAAGCCTAAGGAGAAGGCCATCATAGATTCCTGAATTCAAAGCCTAGCAGCCACAGAAATAACAGGGGTCATGGTCTCATCACTACTACATGACTTTTTCTTAAGTACTGAACTGCATAGTACTTTATAAGAACAAGAAGGTAGGCCAATGAAGGATTATTATAATCTTTAATTTAACACCCAGAAAGGAAGGAAAGGGGCAAGTGAATTGAAGCCAGGTCTTCACTTCAACTAAAGTGCATATTAGAATAGAGATCTATACTGGCTTTTGTACTTCCTTATTTTCCCCAAAAGCCATGAAAAATAGTGCCAACAAACTTGGCTTCATGCCCTGCTTTGGGGCTTCCATACTGGTATCAGGTTGACCAAAACAGGATGCAGTATGTACTGTACAGTTATGTTCTCATCCTTAAGTTTTTGCAGTTAAATTGTAAATATTATCTGAGTGCAGATCACATTCCACTATATTTATATATAAACATTATGACAATGAAAACAACAACACCTATCTTTAAAGCTGTATCTTGAAAGAAAATGGAAATGTGTATTTTGCTCACTGGAAGAGAACAAAAGTGTGTATTGTGATTACAATTCTTGCATGTTAATTTTCACTGGACCCTGTGGTAATGGCGGGCAAAAACAAAACATATCTTGGCAGCATAATTTTGTCTCAGAAATAGTGTAATTATGGTATTTTAGAAGAAAAACATAATAAAATCACTAATTAGTGGTCTGTCCCTCACATCCTGGTATTCCTTGGATTATATGAAAACTTAAGATTATTCCATCCCAAACACATTTTCTCTAGGTTGAAGAAAACCTTCAAAGTTGTGTTGTATAAATTCTTGAGTCTTGGAAACATTATAATTTCCAACACACAATCTGAAACAGGAATACAAAATAGCAAATAAGATACAGAAGCATGGAAGTAATTTAACAATTTCTGTATTTTGCCACAGTCTTTTGTTTACAGAGTATGAAGAATCACTTATAGAAAGAAAGATATAATATATTTACTAATAAAAACATAAATACAAATATTACAATTTAGTTAAATTAAAAGACTGAGGCCAAGCATTAATTCATTTAGGCTTATAGATTACTTCATTTGCAGACAACTCTAAGGGAATATTGTATACTCCAGTACCGCAACAAAACATTAAGCAGTAAGAAATTATACAATAGTTATCTTCACATTCATCATCATGCCAAGGAACTGTAGTAAACAATAGTCATCTTCATATTCATCATGCCAAGGAATGACACTCTCAGTAATCACCTATACAGGATAGGAACCCATCTGTTCTTGGCCTTATTTGCCATTGTAGTTTATGCATACTGCTCCAGAAGCAAGTTGACTGTGCTGATATCATGAATAGAAAATACCTCAGTGTAGGATGATGTGGTCTTAATTGGTTTGATAGTGGTAGTGATGACATTATTTCTGAATAAGTAAATTTAGATTCCCCATATATACTGGACCTAGTTAAAGTACTAATCCAGTTCCCAGTAATATCAGCCCACTAATGAATGTTTAGGGATGATTTGCTCTACTGGCAAATCAATCAAACCAGAATTTGTAGCAACTCTTGCCATTCATAACTCCAAAAGGTAATTCCAGCAATATTCACACTCTATTTATCTGCTGTTTCAGGACACTGTGAAGTTTATTTTCTCTTTGAATTCCAAAATTCTAGAACCAGCAACACATCTCTCTTCTTATCTGGATTAAGTTTTTATACATTTATCCCCCTCACTCCTAGGTCAATGTCAGGTACAAATCTATTCTTCATATCACTTCTGTAAAATGAAAGTCTGCAACTGAAGCTGGTAGAAACTAGTGCAGCTCAGGCCAGTCAAAACCACTACATAAACAAGGAGAGCCTTCAAATCTTAATGTTCATAAAAACATGGTAAAAGTTCATTCATTTAAAAGGGGGGAGGGTTTAAACTTGAAACCCTGGAGCTGACACACACAATGACTATGTAACTATGAATGACAGAGTTATATAGTCATTCATACAAATAATAGACCTGATTTCTATTTATGAATTTTTTGTCTGCAATAAAGCAATTTATCAATCTGTGTTGAATCTGTGAAGCTTCTGTTGTTAATTATTTCCTGAATTTGGGATTGAGTTTGTGGGGAGATTTAGAGCTGTGCCTGGCTTCAAATGTGACACTTGGGTTGGATTATGGAATCAAGAGGCAGAACTATTTGTTATCAATATATTAATGAAATGTCATTCTAACCTGTTTCATGTCAGTTCTTCTGCAGTGATTCCCAAACTGTGGTCCATGAATCACCAGTGGCATGTGGAGGCCTACTGGAGGCCTACCCCATAGTCTCTGTGTTCACTGCCACCCACTGCTTTAGCCGTCACCTCCCTTCATTCATTGCCTGTCTGCTGGTTCACAAAAATAGAGCAGTGCCAGAAAACTGTAGCTCCCAACTGCGAGTTCTCATCTGTTGGGTTAAGTAGAACTGATACATTGCACAAGCAAGCCCAAAAGAGAAGTAAAAGTAGAAAATATGACAATGAATATCTAAAAATCGAATTTCATTTGATTGGAGATAATGCCTTAGTATTCAAAGATTTCTACTGAAGAATATTTTTGACAACACAAGCTTGTGCTAAGAGGTGTCATCATGTCATGGGGTACATAAAAAAAATAATAATTCAAGTAGTAAATAAAAACCTAATTTTGGATTTTTTCCCCCACTGAATGCCACTGAAAGTTTCAGAATGATCAAGAAAGCTTCCTAGCAATGACTAGTTGCTAGAATGATAATATGTCACTGAGACCTGTTTGGGTGAAGATAGAAAGGCACCTCTGTCTGAAATTTGCCCAGTTAGGTTTCAAGTGTTGGGACAGGGGTAGCTCAGGAATATATGACTGCCATGACATCCATGAGCCTATTCCAAGTCATCGTGGCTCTGACTCAAGGTCGTCATACATTGGATCTGGCATTTACCTTGGGGCAATTAGCATGGGATCTGAGGGTGGAGGAAATTAACCTTTTTCTATTGTCATGGTCAGATCACTAACTAATCCCCTTGAGGCTAATGGCCACTATAGACCTAAAAAAAAAAAAACAAAAGGATGGACCCATTAAGATGGACTGTTCTAGGGACCTTATGAATCATGCAGGTGTGAGGAACTTTCCAAGATATCTGATGGGTGGCTTGAGTTAGATAGTTCAGTGTCATTTGATACCATCAACTATGATAACCATTGGGATACCTATGAGGGTTGGGGGATTAGAGGCACTGTTTTACAGCAATTCCACTCTTTCTTGGGTTCCAACTATGTTATTGGGGAGGAGAGGTCAATGCTTAGGGTGGGGTTCCTCAAGGCTTGGCTCTCTCCCACATTCTTTTCAACATTACAAAAAAACCACAGGAAAGGGGCAGTCATCCATCAGTTTGGGGTCAGGTATCAACAACATGCCCCTGGTACCTCTATCCCAGGCCAAGCAAGACACATAGTAGGAGTGTTGACTGGTGTCTGGCGGCTATAAGGAGCTAGATGGATGGAATAGATTTAGATTGAAATGCAGCAAGACAGAGTTACTGTTGGATCCACTGATGATCTACAGATTATTCTTGATGGGGTGACTCTGCCCTTGAAGGAAAAGTTAGTTGTTTCTCCTCGACCCATGTCTCCTGCTAGAACAGCAGGTGGAAGTTGTAGCAAAACCCTTTGGCCAGCTTTGGATGATTTCCTATTTGTATCCCTTTCCTGAACCAGGAGGCATTGAATACAGTGAATCATGCTGTTGTCATCTCACAATTA